AAATTTAAGAACTTACATCTACATTATTTAACTTAAAAATATGTAAATATTCTGATCCAGGATTATAACCCACAATATATCCTCATTTATGAATTTTATACATACCTTTATCAGAATAATACTTATATTCATCCAAACGGATTGATTTTTTTCATATATAGGTCCATTCAAAGTTCAAATTCATACAGAACATAGTGTATTCATGTTCACGAAACCCAAAGTTTATAGTGACACTTTTTACGGTTGTTTGAACTGGTGTAATTCGTAAGATTCGTCGTTTCAGATCTTTTGACTGAGACCTGATGCTGAGGAACTCTTGATAGCGTTTTAATTGTAAGATTTAACAATTTCAAAGAAACAAGAGCAGTTGACTGTATTTAGAAGTATTTAATTATATTCATAATTAAACTAGTTAAATACCTTTATTTCAGTAACTCCACAGGATATTCTTGTTAATTTTCCCCCCACAGTATAACTGAATAACATGATGTATCAGAATGTCTCGTAATTTTATTACATGTATCACTCAAACTTCCTTCACTTACAAGAACCAATGACGCATTTTTACTTGACATATGCGATAGAAAGCATTTTAGTCTATTATTAAATTCATTTGATTATAAAATTTATTTGATATGCATTAATTCTTACTTAACTTTATGATTTGCTCCTTTTATGTGATTCACGGCTTCTTTAAATTTTTTCTTTGCAGAGATTTTTGAACCATTAACTTTTTAATAGATTTTACATTTGCAATTTTTAAGCAGTTCGTATGATACTGCTTAAAAATACCCCTAAGTAAATATTATTATTATTTACCCCTAAGTAAATAGTTATTTATGCATACTTTTTTATTTAGGTAGGAAATTTATGTAAATTTCCATTATTAATCTAAAAATACGCACAACTCATTGTTTTGGTCTGATTTGTTTTATATGGCAAAGCACTCGAGGGCTATATGCCTAAGTGTAGGGATGCCGTCACGAAGGCCCTTTCTAAGGGAAACAGGCGATAGCACTGAGATATTGTAAGTATATTGTAAGCATTAGTAATAAAATCTTTTCAGAATTATTGAGATATTTCACTGTTTCTTATCTAAATCTTGTAAATGTACAGAAAATCCTGTCATTTGGTGCTCCTGTGGACTTGGACTGAAATTACAATTTCTTTCCAAACGGAAACGTAATGAAGCCAGGCTCCTTTGGATTTCGGCTGAATCTGAGCAATAACTGACTATAATACGGTTAGTTAGTCAAATAATCCGACAATAATTATTTGACTAACTAACCGTATTATTTATTACAATTTTCATATTTATAATGGGATATATTTTAGAGTGGTTCCCGAAGCCACTAACAATCGAGTCCACTTTCTGAAATCAGGTGCCTCAAAGATGATTATTTTTAAATTGCACTTTAGTGTTTTCATGTGAGATATGAGCTTTAATATATTTATTTGTTGTTCATTATACCCAAATCTGTTTCAATTAATCTGTTTCATTGTTTTTTCGTTAAACTGTAGAAATAGACTTAGGAGAATGAATAAATCTTGCAAGAACTTATCTCCCCCCCCCCAAATTTCCGCAATTAAGAACCGTGCATGAGATATGCATAGCCAGTACGAAGCGAACAACTTTGGCAATTTTAATTTTCTCCTAATTTGATATCCAAAACGAAATGACTTGGTTATGGTAATTGTTCAAAGTAATAATGTAAGCAGATATTTAATGCGAACTTCATACTGGGTCAGATTACTTAAATTGATCGGTTGAATCAACATCGACAAGTCTGACATCTGACACCGATCAAACGTTAGCCGATTGATCCCATTGACAAGAAGGCAGTATCAAGTTTCATTCTTTCTTCTGTGGCCCACCAGCGGCAGAGCGGTAAAGACGCTGAACACTGGTAGTTCGGTCCGAGGTTCGAATCCCGCGGACGGGCTGGCTGCATGGGCGTTTTCGTGGTTTTCCCCATGTGTAACGTGTATACGAGCCAATTTCCCTTAGAAAGTCCTCCACGAAGGCATCCCGCCATTTAGGCAGAGAGGCCTCGTGTGCTTTGCCATAATTGAATAATCCAATCCAAGTTTCATTCTTAAGTAAAAAATATCGGGCTTGTTGTTGGCTTAAACAGTTTAGTGAGACCTTGATCAGGCAAAATATAGTTCCTGTTTTTAAATTCTAGTCAGACTCTAAAGGGCCGTTCCCACTGGGGTTTACCTGAGCTAATGGAGTCCGTACCATGTGTCAAGTAGCTCCACTGTGCAATTCAGATTTTTCAACTTGCTAACCTATGGGGAAAACTGATTTTGGAAATGGGTCAGCTACGTCAACTGTCTCCGTTAGCTCAGATAAGCCCCAGTAAGAACGGCCCTTAAGTCGTTACATGGTCATCTGAAAACGTGATCCGTGTAAGATAGCCCTTTGTTAGGGAGAATAACGCCATACGCCTCCTCGTAAGGAAAATCAAGCATGTGTTAGGTTACTGTGTAAATAACTGTGCAGTTTATAATTTAAAACTTCGATGTCTGTATACTTGGAATAATGTGAGACTGTTTACATTCTTATTAATTTGTCTAGTATTAAAGTAACCCGCATTACTTTTGAAAGTTTAGGAATGTACAAAATGCAAAAAAAATTATTAATAATTTGTTTCTCAAACAGAAAAAGTTAACACGTCAAAATAATAGCGCAAAGTACCAATTAACTATAAAAATAGACATAAAGGTAACCTAAATCAGTTTTGGAACAGCAACAATTTAGAGAACTTAGATAACAGCAAAACTTGTTTACTTGTTACTTTAAACACACTCATCCATCATTTCTTCTTGACAGTTAATCATACGCTATAGATTTTAAAGGCTATAGTATTTTTACTCTTAATTTTAGAAGTTTCCCTAGGAATATTTTCTTTTTGCCAATTTACGTATAAGTTTTGATTTTATTTTGCTAAACTCTATAGAATAATCTTTATCTTTCTGGGAATTATATTTTGGATAATTTTTAGATTTTAGACATAGATTTGTTATCTAATACAATTAGATTACTAACAGAGATGTATATTCATTTTACTCACAGCTAAATGTACGACATATTCTTCCTCCACATGAACGATAGAGTAGTTACTTAATATAAAAACTTTGGTTTTAGAATATCTCGCATGTCATATAAACAATAGATCAAAAACCCTAATTAGATGAAAGATTGTATTTTGACTTGTGTATCATAAAGTTAAACTTAAAAACTAATGTATTTAATACAACGGTTTTTGAACATTAAAATATAATAAATATTAAATTAAATTATTATAATATAAAATAATTCATTAAATTATAATAATTCTGTACTTCTAAAAGGCAGTCAGGAATCAATCAATACTTTTTTTTGTATTTTTTCTATTCCCCTTGGACAAAGTACGGAACGAAATTATACCGTTATCGAGATATTTTAGGATTTCGACCACTGGAAATATGTTTACTGATGAGGCACAATTTAGAGTATTGATTTCTTGACCACGCGCTGTTCTTTAAAGTCATATATGGTAACTTTTTTTTAACACAGAAACAAATGCTGGTCTTGAATGCAGCTTACAAATGACAACGTTCTTCTGCGCAGTCTTCATCATATCGATTATTTCTCCCAAATTAAAGGTATCTAATAAACAAAACAGTCTCTTCTGCGATGTCACAAATACTCCTTGCGAAACACATTTGTTTACAGTCAGAAAAAATCATCATTAGAGTAATAAATAAATTAAAGAGATTATTCTAAAACCTATGCAGTTTTGTTTTATTTGATTATGGGAGAGCACTAGAAGGTTATCTCCCTGAAGTATGGCTTCGTGGAGGGCTTTCAAAGGGAAACTGGCTTGTATTCACGTTACACTGGAGAAATCCACGAAAATACCAATAAAGCCAACCCGTTCGCCTGGAATCGAAGTGAAGGCTGAACTACTAATGTTCAGTGGCTTTACCGCTCTACTCATGGAAAGGAAGAACAACTGCAGTAAATGTGTATTTTAATAAGATCATTGAAAAATATTCTCCCTTTTCTATAGTAAGAGCACTATTTAAAGGCAGTTCAGGCAGGAATGTTTCTTTTGTCAAAATTAGCTATTAACATAACCTTGGTTTTAGGATCAAAATAGTCAGAGATCTCACAGAACGATGTAATAATATAAAATTTTCGAAGTTCTTTAAATTACTAACTACAGAGTTAATTTCATACTGTTATATACTATTTTAAAATATAAGACAACTAGAATCGTAAAGAGAATCATACAACTTATCGTCCCGTATTACCTTCTAACTATACTAAACACAAACTCAAACTGAAGGTTTATTAACACGTTACGTAAAACTGATACAATAGAAAAAAAAAAAAAAACTTTTCAGCTTGCGAGAAATTTAGAACAAACTTTCGAAGTCAAGTTAAAATATTAAATACAAGTTAACAAGCCCCTAAAGAGGCTTTCATTCAGGTCCTTAAGTATTCACCAAATACAACCATTCACCAAATATTCACCAGATACAGTCAGCTGAAGCTAAAGTCAATAAATCAGTTCAAATAACATGGAGGAGTAAACAGAGTAACAGATCAGCAAGGCCTGCAACAGCTTTCCTTCAGACATAAGAAACTATGCGCTTGTACACATTAAGTAACTTTTATTCTGATTAGTTCTCGGAAGTAGAAGAAATAGTAAAGCCAGAATCATAACATACTTGGGTTAATTAATATAAAACCTACATTGTAAGAGAAATAATTTGCTCCCAATTTAGTTTACTAGAACATCTTAACCATTTTTTAAACTGATTAGTTATTGAAACTTAATCTTTTTTTAACTGAGGTTTTCATAAATGCACAACTAAATTAAAATCGCAGTTCCTGTACAAAAAGCAAAATCTCACGTTAAGTAGTTTTTAATATGACTGCCTCTGAGCAATGTGCTAGATATATCTTTTACAAGAGTAAAACTTCTCTTCTGAATTTTTTTTGCTAGATCTATGGTGACAAAGATGCTGATGGATTCTACAGAGGTGAGTCGAATGGTCGAGTGGGTCTCGTCCCGGGAAACATGGTATCCGAAGTGCAAGTTGATGTTGATCCAGTCTACTATAATGATAATACATCAAGACCTCGTTCACTAGGACAAATAGCTATGGGTAATGTAATTTCGAAACATTCATTCTATGAAATTTCTTTCTACAACCAATTACACACGCCATAAATGTAAATAAGCATTTTCCTTCAAAATTTTCTGAAACATAAGAGCTATAATTATTATCATTCTTTTAACTATTTCTTTAAATAGCTACTATGTTGGTAATTAATAATGCCTCTACAACATTATTTTGTTGCTACAATTCTCAGGTACTGATTATTGTGTTCCTCTGCCGGTTGCCAAATTTTGGAAAGATTTGAAGCAAGTACTATATTGATGGAAATGATCTGGCTCTGCCAGGATTTGACAAAAGTTATTTCACCAGACAGCTCTCAAATTTTTTTCTGCAGCAATTATAAGATATAATGCAAACAGCGTCCAGGTCAAATTCATTTTTCAATCATGAACTCTAATTTTCCTTTGCGTCCGTCGTTTATTCGCGACTATACGCTTTGTTGCTTCAAGCATGAGCTCATTACTGTAGATTTGACATGTTAATATCTTATACGGTGAGGATACAATGAAAGCATACAATCTATTGTATGTTTCCATGTTGGCATCTTTAGTTTCGTAAATTTAGCCCTACGCAGATGGTTTTTCAGAAGTGAATCTCAGAGAAAGACGGGAAGAAGTGGAAGAATTTTACCAGTGGTTGTATATGTATAATCTCACCACAATAATTTTAATAAATAACGCATCTGGGGAAGTATCTGAGGATATTCCACATCTCTTCCGCTACCACCAAACCTCGAAAGAGGACTTTCTTCTCGCCAGTGATTTAAATGCCTCCATGCCGCACACACACTACTTGCAAACATCCATGTCGTTCTCCAAAATTTAAACCCAGGCCCCCCGTTATACCAGAAAGTACTGCTAAGCACTCTAACGACTAAAAGACGATAGTGGATCACAGCATATTTAAATATAACTGTGTATCCGTTTGGAAGTATCTTAGCGGTATACAACACCGTAATAATAGATGAGCTGCACGCATTTGGCATGATGAGCAGTCTTCGATGATGGATGGGCTACCCATTTATATCGACGAAAGGAAGCTGCTTTACAGTCGTATCCGACATCTATCTCAACATCATTGTCACGAAGGATAACAAATGCCTCTACTTCAATATGAATTTCAAATGAGCTTGAAGAAGAAGATTAAAAGCTTAGGTCTCGTCCAAACAAAATTCCACCAGCATAAAGTTATGTTGAGCATTTTTATAGGAATCAAATGCGCATTTTTATAAGATTCAAGTGCATTTCCACACTTTACTCCTAACACCTGCAGCAGATTACTTATAAACTCATTGAGATGCCTTTGAGGCATATTATTGAAACATGCCTGAAAGGCATTGAGGATCAAAGGCTTGAAAATACCGATTCATGCCAAAAACACAAGACAAGTGACTTTCAAATAACTTAGTAGCTGTAACTGGGGTTGGAATCGGAAGTTTTGTTTTTTATTCTACATACTCTTGACCTTCTATTAAAGAACTGTTATCTTTCTCCGTCGCTTAACAGCACTTTCAAAAGATTAACTATAATTATGTTATCAGTCAGAAAAATACTATCGAAAGTTTAATAATTCTGTTATTAGCGACTAATGTAATTTTTCAACAAAGACAAGCTTCACGAACAGCTGGCAGATTTCTTTGCTTATAGACAAGCTCTGTTCTACAGGAACGAGGTTTGAAATTCTCCTAAGCATTTTCAGAAGATCATCGATGTGGTTAGTGCCTGCATTTTCAATGATCAACCTTTAGTCTTGTGCAAAATAATCATTCATGGTATGTTCCAAAGATAGTCAAAACTTTTCCAGTTCTGAAGAGCATACGATAATCTAAAAGTTGAAAAAACTTTCAAGAGAGTTAACAAATGCTTACCTGCAACTATTGGGAAGCATTTACCTGCAACATTTATGTCTTCTTTGAATTTTCTTATTTATGCTTTCTGCTCATGGGATAGCCTTAGCACTGATTCCCAAATAGTTTCGGAAGGCGCTCACTGTGTAAATACGTAGAATAAAAATATTAACCTCAGGTACTCAAGTTTATCCTATCTGAGCTAAACCTGAGCTCTGTGCTGTGGCCAAGCCGATAATAGATTTAGACAGCCTCATGTTAGAGCAAGTTAAAACGCGACGGTGAGAAAGAGAGAAGTTCTAACTGATTCTCTTCCCTGCACTTCGATGATGCAAAATAATGCCGACCATAGACCCTCAGGATTTTCAAAATAATAATTCTTTCAAACACAACAAGTTTTAGTTTTCACCGGAGTTAAATTTATGTAAGTTCCGTGCTAACTATTTATGTGTGAATATATATATATTCCTTGTTTGCTACATGTGAGACAAAACATTTTTAATGCATATCTGCGCCCACATTCCTTCAGGCAACCCCAATACATAAAGCGGAATGAAAGTAACTTAAACGTACAATTCAGTGTGAAAAATTTCTGCATTTCTAAAGAACAGAGAAGAGTTCTTCCCTTCTTTTTGCCTCCGTTGGCTACTGATAATCGACAGATAAGTTACCTTGTAAGGATCTTAAGTTTGACTAACGTTATATTTTGTTTTAAAACGTTACTGTCCTTTCTTACTTTCCACTTCCAGAATAAACGCGTTAATTTGTTTATGCAAACTGTACTTGCTAACTCTTAAGTATTTAAGTTCTGGCTTTTCGCCAAGAACAGAGTTAGACGGAGAGAGAGTGAGCCTCCTTGCCACTGTATTTCAAGCGAGCTTTCAATCAGTTTCTGTCCGCCTTTAAGGCCAGAGGTTTAGTCCTCTTGAGATCTAAGACGTATTGTAGTTTTCCGCAGTTTACGCTCTACATAATAATCTAATGTAAGTAATAATCTGAAAGGCCAACTTTAGTGTTGGTCATCTGTGTAAAGTATTCAAAGTTAGCTGATATTTTAATTTAGTTAAGTTAGTAGTTCTTATATTTTTTACGTTCAGACCACAAGTGGTTGATCTTTGTATCCCGAAGTGCGGGAGCACCTGTAATGTCGTGGAGAATAAAGGATAAGGTTAACCCTTCTTGCTTGTGTTGACCATTCCGCACATACACGAGCATAGCTTGAGTAAGCTTCCTGCTCCCATTCAGGACATTAGATGTTTCCTAAACAGATTAGAAGATCAAGCAGACCTGATAACTTTTTCAATTGAATCTAAGTTATAACTAATTGCTTTGAAAAGTGTTGGGCATTCTGTATAATTTAGGCTCTGTTTGCTCCGAAATTCCCCTTAAAAAACTAGTCTTCATTAACAAGGTATTTTTGCGGAGAAAAATCGAACATTCAAAGAGGAACAGAATTGATATTTAAATAGCAACGTTTCATCATATACCAGTTAACAACGTAAAATATAGCAGCTATATTAAGTCCAAAAAATATCATCAGCAAAGTCTTTGTGTTATTCACAGATTATGGTACTGATGTTACTGATGCCTGCTGAAATTAGATTTTTCCAAATATTTGCGTTCTTAAAGCAAATCAAATATTTGAACAATAGACAGTTACAGCAAAAAAAATACCTTTACGTAAAATTATTCTGCTGATGAAAAAATGTGGCACGTGAGGCCTTAAAGAACAACAGAACGATTTATTTCCCTCAAATTAACCTGAAACTTTGCCTCATTAAACTGTTTGTTAAATCTATGGCTTGAAAAGGTGAGGTATTTAAGGTAAGTGTCATATTATAAGACAGTTTAGTTCACGATTCCCTTAAAACTCATTGGCAAAAGGAAAATATAAATTTCTTATTCGAAGTCTATTAAAAACTATGTGCTAACTATGTGCGTGTAACGAAGTGTGAAATCTATTAAAAACGCACAAAAAGTTAAAGGAAGGAGAATGCTTTTTAAATACAAAAATGTATTGCATTCAGTTTGATGCACGTAATTTTAAATATTGTATGGCGCTCCAATTTTATTCATTGATTGCTCTAAAAGAAGCCTCTCTAGTGTTTTTATTAGGAAATTCTTGTTAAAGACGATACCTCTATGGTTTAGAAACCACAACTTCTCTTTTTTTTCTAATTTTATTATAGACTCGTAAAATTTAAGTAAGAAAAATAAAGCAAATTTCTGTTCAAAGATTTGATGTACATGAAATTAAAATTTACCCAGATAAGTTTTAATTTCAGAAACTTTTATAGTGTTGTTACGTGCGTACGGGTTCATAATGGATTGAATACACGCAAGAGCGATAATAGCTTGATGAAATTAATTTTTTCAAAAACCCTAAGCAGTTCTAGAACTTTCACACGAAAGTATTCGTACAGCTCTTTGCAGTACGGCAGAGCACAATCAGTAATTACCACTTCAAACTACTAAGAACGTTGAATACAAGGCAATACAAAAAGCATCATAAGTTCGCACAGTGATCTCTCAGTGCTCTCAATACTTTGAGTTAAACTCCGAACTAAACTGAGAACTGATGCTCGCTCCGGAGGCATGCACAGTTACAGTTACAGTTGGACGCGCAGAAGTGCGACGGACAACTATGATTTGCTATGTAAGTAGGTATTATCATCCCGCACGATGTATCTCATGGTACTGAGCGCCTTCGAACTTCTTTGGTCTGTTATTGTGTGATTTTCCCCTTTTCCCCGTCGTTGCCACCTATGTGCCACCAGGCACTTCATCCTCTTCTCCTGACTCCAGTGCTTATTCATACTAGTTTCATTTTTACAGTTTTGTATGGTTACATTTTCAGTTTTACAGTTTACAGTCATATTTACATAAATTTCATGTTGATACATAGAATACACATTAGAACACTCAGAAAAAGTAGGGACATAAAAAGAAAATTTCTGTAAATTCTTGCTAAAAGTTTCTGCATTGTATATTGAGCAAGTACTGAATGCGCTGCCTATTGATGCTGATATGCTGCTTTCTCACTTTGTCGATCTTAGAATATCAAGTCCTGTAGAGTTCAGTCATTGGAGAAGAACTGTTTTGTTAAAGTGAACTGCATAGATCTTCACTTCTTGAAGCA